TGAACCTATATATACCCCTTACCCTCAAACTTCTGGAGTTAATTAAGAAAAATGAAAAATCAAGTTTTGAGCAAGTTTGCTTAAGAGTTTTCAAGTGTTTCTCAAGTGTGTTTATGTGAAAAGGTTTTCACAAGAGGACGAGACCATTTCTTTTGTGTTTGGGCTTCAATCTCAATCTCTCTCACTCTTGATTTTCAGAGAAGTTTTGATAAACTCCATTTCTACCTTTATATATATTTGTTGTTGATTATCTTTTCATTAAGCTAGATTTTAAATTGAGTTTAGTTTTATTATTGCTCTTTGGTCACACACACCACCTATTGAGCTTTTAGCAGTTCATACATTATATAATTGGGTTGTGGTGAGTGATTCATTGAGAGTGAGCTTAATTGAGTTCTCATCTTGTTAGAGAACAAAAACTTTGTATTTATGCTTAATTATTGTGAGATCACTTTGTAATACTTAAGGACACCGAGAGGAGTGGTTGGTGAGAGACAGTGTCAATTCCAAGAGGAGTGACGTCGGTAGTAAATCCTAAGGAGAGGTCGTAATTTTGAGTACTTGAGAAAGTTAACACGGGCTAGGCCAACACGTAGAGGGTGTATTGTATGGTTATAATTGTGTGAGTTGTAAACGTTTATCAGTGAGCATTAAAAACCGTTTGTGTAGTTATCTTTTGAGATAATGAAGATTCTCCTCAAGAGTGGGGAGCAGAGACGTAGGTCGAGAATGACCGAACTCCATGATCACATCGTTTGTTTATGATTGTCATTTGCGTACTATCTCATTTGCATCTTGTGTTCATATTTATTTCACCATTGTTTAATTACATATCATTGCTCATATCTTGTTGAATATCATACTTGCTAGGATAGATTGTTAATAAGTTTTAAATTTAATATTAAAATCGGATTAGATTAGCAAATACCTTATTCACCCACCCTCTTACGTAATTTCAGTGTTAGCTGGATTAGGCATAATGTGGGATACTTGTTTGTTGTTGATAATAGATCACATTTTGGCGATTGAAAACATCATAACACCACCCTAAAATTTTGAAATTTCAAAATTTACAAACAATAAAGGTGAACTTAAGGGCTTACCATCAGGCACCTAAAATTTTGAAATTTGTAAAAATAACCTTAATGTTATAAAAATTGCAGAAAACTTATTTAAAAGTTAGAAATCACAAAAAACCATGAAATTTCTAAACTTATAACCAATACATATCAATTCTAAAAATTATCAGTAGACCACTAAAAATTTGAATTTTATAACAAACAATCCAAAGTTTTAATAACTACAAATACGCCTTCAAAATTTCAAAATTGCAAGAAATATCCTAATATTCGAAAACTTACCACGAACACATGAAACATAAATATTACAAGCACCCAACTTAAAAATTTAAAATTTAAAAAATACTCTCAAAGTTTTAAAATTTGCAAAACACACCCTTGAAAATTCAAAATCACAAAAATAAAACTAAAGTTTCAAATCTTAGCAAAGAAAAAAATAGTTGTTTGATATTATTTCATTAAGATATATAAATTTAACTTCCAATTTAAGGTTTACTATTATTTTTTAGCATCTAAAAGCAGTATATTTTTATCAAAAATGTAAAGGTAAAAAATGATTGATGTCATGTAACGCCCCGCCCCGGAATCCCGGAGTCGGTACGCTATTAGATCTGATGGACTGACCTCACAAACCACCACATGTCTTTTCAGCACGTTTTGTCCTCACTCACACGCTCCCTAGAAAACTTCCCAAGGGGTCACCCATCCTAGAATATCTCCAGGCCAAGCATGCTTAACTTTAGAGTTTCTAAGAGTTGAGTTTCCGAAAAGAAGATGCATCTTGGTGGTATGAGTATTCTAATCAAATCTATTAATACTAATCACATCACCCTCTCAAGGGTTGGGGTATTACAAACTCACCCACTTAAACTCGCAACGTCCTCGTTGCGCCAAATCATATCATCCAAGACCGTACCATCCGTGTGAGATTCTAGAGGTGGCTCCTACGGCCTCAAGAGGTGGCTCCTACGGCCTCAAGAGGTGGCTCCCGCCCTCTCGACGTAGCACTTTGTGCTGCATAGCACTTAGCTCTCACAATTCCGATTGGCTTTGCTCTGATACCATTTGTAACACCCCGCCTCGGAATCCCGGAGTTAGTACGCTATTAGATCTGATGGACTGGCCTCACAAATCACCACATGTCTTTTCAGCACGTTTTGTCCTCACTCACGCGCTCCCTAGAAAACTTCCCAGGGGGTCACCCATCCTAGAATTTCTCTAGGCCAAGCATGCTTAACTTTGGAGTTTCTAAGAGTTGAGTTCCCGAAAAGAAGATGCATCTTGGTGGTATGAGTATTCTAATCAAATCTATTAATACTAATCACATCACCCTCTCAAGGGTTGGGGTATTACATGTCAGCTCACTAAAAAATAAACAAAAGGAATGAAGGTCACTATTTTTTGAATATTTTATAGATAATTTATTTTTTGAGTAAATTAAGAATCTTTAAAAGAGATTTTTATGAACTTTTTAATATTTTTATATGCTTATGTGGATGCTTTTATCATATGAAAGTGTGCTAGAGTTAGCATTACTCTTTAGCTTATTATGACTTTTTTAAAGTCTATAACAGATTAGGAATAAACTCTATATTCTCTTTTATGTTATTTTAGCCTATTTTAACTAATTATTTTGTCTTATTAGCTTTTAATTAGCCATCTTCCTTTTACAATGCTATTTTTGAAGTGTTTTTCACTTTTACAACACTATACTTTCTCAGGTCAAGCTTGGTTTTATGTGGGTCCAAATAACATGATAATTTAAATTAGCTTCGAATTACATTTGTTTCGTGTCAATTCAATTATCAGCATAAGAATTTAAATTGAGTGTAGCTCATGAATCGAACATTAAAGAAAATAAATAATTATAATGCTATAGTTTAGAGACATAAGTGAGAAAAACTATCAAAATAATGTTAGGATTGCGTCTTTGATTCTTTGTATAACTTTATGAGAATTAGATATGGTTAGAGATTTATTATGATTAGGAGATTGTGTTTCATCATGATTAGGAGTTTGAATCCTATTCTAATTAGGAAGTTAGGCTAGAGATAATGTTTTGGTTTCCCTATATATATATTTTTATTGTTGGAGGAAAAACTAAGCAGATAAGAGAGAGCTAATATTCCTGTAATCTAGGGTTAGCAGATGGTGTAACCTGGTTCAAGAATATTATGCGAGAGGCGAGTATTTCATAGTCTTTGTCCGTGCAAAATATTACATTATTAGGAGAGGGTTTCACAGTCTTTGTCTGTTCGAAAGATCGTAAGGAGATGGCTTTGGAGATAATAGAGTTGATTATGTATGTGAGGTTGAAAGATTGAGAGATGAGAGTTGAGTGGTTCTTCTTGTAGTTCTCCCTGATACATAGTGGATTTATCGTATTGTTGCCAGTAGACGTAGGTCAAAGTTGGTTGACCAAACCACGTAAATCTCTGTGTTCTTTCTTCTTAATTGTGGTTGTTTTATATCTTGTTAATTATGGGTTGGCTTCCAAGTTGCGCAAATGTAGTAGGCAGTGAGACTAAAATTCCCCAACAGTGGTATCAGAGCCATGATGATGGATCCGGGAGCGAGTTCGCAAGATAGAAGATGACGTCGTGCAAGATTAAAGATCAGCGTTACAAGAATCAAGATGAAGAAAAAAAGGAAGGAACGACAATTGCCGGTAAGAGGATTTAACGACGACTAATCGTCCGAAGGAGAGCGCTTAGTAATGAGGTGTCTCATTTACATCTACTCTCCAACTCATGTCAATGTGGTCTCTCATTTGAATAAGTGAATGAAAATGAAGTACTTCATTAATAAGCACAAAAACTTGCGCTTAGTACCAAATTCCTCTATATTGCTCTCTCTCTCTATATATATATAGGTATGATATGCCCATATGAGGGGATTCCCTCAAAAACAATGATATGACACAATCTTTACCATGTGTGATTATGAGACATTCTCTCTCCTACTTTATTGACTTGGTATAGATTGTGCAACATCATTGTATATGAGGGAATCCCCTTAATGGCATATGATATCCATTAATCTCGTACACACACATATATAGTTATTAACATATAAAGATAAGTATCCAAACATCACACAAATTATTTTGATAAACTAGAATTCTAGCATGTATAAATGCATGTGCTGTAAAATATGAGATTTAAAACTTGTAATTGTGATGCAATGGATATGATACTGTTGCGAGTATTTAGTTGTATTGCTTAAAAATAACTAAGAATATTGTCCAAAGTGCATGTATTTGTACACAAAATAAGGAGAAAAGAATGAGATTCTTTTTATTTAAATAAATATTGGTCTTTTGTTTAACACATTTTAGCAAAAGTTTCTTATAGTTTTTCTACATGAAAAATATTATTTTTTGTGCTATACATAGAGGGGAAAGAATTGAGGATAAAATGTATTGATCATTGCAAATAAAATTTTCTAAAGGGTCTATGTGTAAATACACCTAGCCCCAAAGAGCTTGAACTTGGACATGTGTTTGCTTGCTTACTTTGACCCCATGATTTTACCATTATGTCACTATCTTTTCCATGGCGATCTCCGAGATCGTCCAAACTTTATGGCACCCTTAATTGGTTTTTTATAATCGGTTTTTCTATAGAGTGCTCATGGGTACTCTATAAGAGAGGAGAGAGATAGAGAGAAATAAATTATGCACAAAAATTAATGTAAATTAGGGAGGTCATGAGCTATTCATTTTTCTCTATCTTTCTTCTTCCTTATAGAGTGTCCATGAACACTCTATAGAAAAACCGTTTTATAATATAGCATGGAGCATATATCTGGTCTGAAAATAAATGTGAAACCGGATATGGACAATAGTCCCCATGCACTTACTGGGCCGTTTATTACTTGGGCCCAGAAAGCAAAGCTCCTAATACCCGATAACTTCCGAGGTTCTCTGCCAATTCACTCTCTCGCTCTCGGTGTGCCCTTTTCCGACTGGCCTCTCACTCTCCACCGCCGCCGCCTCCTCCTCCTCTGACAGAGTTGATATCGAGGGTGATAATGGCAACAGACTCTCTGTGAATACGAATACGAAGTCGAGGATACTGAAATTCTGGGAAAAGCCCTGAGTTTTCGCTAGGGTTTTTTTTGAAACACCCAAGGTATGTTCCTCTTTCTGCTAGAATTACTTATTCTTGTTAAATACTAGGGTTTAACATAGATTTGAATGATATTAACTAATATTGTATTTGGTTATCGGCAATTTATGCTGACCTTTTTTTTAGGGTTTTATATCTGGGCTACTCAATGTTGAAGTGAGAAGTCTTAGATAAGCCCCTCTGTTGGGCTTTTTCCCCAAATACACTCATATAATAAACTGAATGTGATGTGATGCACTTTATTTTACTTAATATCCTAGAATTATTAAGATTAAATTGCGGGAGATCAGATAGTATCCTTGCCTTTTAAATTTTGTAACAACTGATATTAAGCTTGGAAAAGTTTCATAAAAAGAACTGTCATAGGCCCATATTGTGTGTTAACACTACTGCGAATCTCGTGATACAAGGCGAGAGTTTGCATTGGGTGATTAGGAATGCGTTCACGATTGGACCATAAAGATTCATCACATGAAACATCGATATTGTTAGAGTAAAACCAAGTTGTGTATGCAATGTAATTTATCCTCTGACCTAGGAGTTATCGATCTGCTAATGCGATGAGTTGGGTGTAGTCAAACGTCATCAAGACCTTATGAGTTTTCAATAGGGAATCCACAAAGTGATTTTGGATAAGTGAACTTGTACAAATTTCTGGCCATGTTTCATAACAGATTAGATTTGCAAGAGTTAATTGTTCCTAATATCTATTATGGGGTTGGATGTTGACTATAGGTAAGACAATGACTATTTATCGCAAAGATGAAACCAAGTAATAAACAGTGGAAGGATCAAGGATAATTGCATTTACAAGCAGGGAGTCAATTTAATCTGAATTGACTAAATCCGTTAACTATTAGACTAACCATCAAATGTGTATGAGTAAATAATTGATTGAATCTCACTTCGGCCTGAACTAGTGATAACTTGACTTGTGGCAGACTGCTTCAATTAATTGCAGTTAGTTGAATCAATGATTTATTTGTTAATTTAATTTTTTAATATGTGAATTTAAGTAAACATTCTTAATCGGTAGACTTAACATTTAGTAATCTAATAGTTCTTGATATTATCAAAGATTTAAATATCTTATAAATAAGTTATTTAAATATCAAATCAAGTGAAATTAATGCTAATAGGATAAACATAATCAACTGAGGTTAAGATATTTGCATATTTAAATTTCATGTTATGATGAATCCCACTAGGATTATAATAACAATTTTTGATCCTATAAATATGTCATATTGTAATAACTCATGACTTCCCATCTTCTCTGGTTACAAGAAGTCTTGAGATTATAAGAGGTGCAGACTCTGCCTTCATTAGATGAGAGGGGAGTTCATCGAGCCTAGATCAAATCTAGAAAACTGACTGTCAAGTTGGCGAACCACTAACGTAAGTTTTTTTAATTTTATCACGTGAGATAAGTAACTAGAAATTTTCTGATTTGTAGCGTGATATGTTATCACCTTCCGTTGCTAGCAATTGGTATCAGAGCAAAAGTTGCTCTATTATTGTTTTATTTTCCTTAATTTTTATCATGAAATTGTCATGATATAGGTAATCGTTATGCTTGATTGATAGGAACTGATATATCATAACGTTTGTTTGTTAGGACTTAGATGTGAGAAGTCATAATTAAGTTCTTGTTATTGTAGTTACTAATCGACAAGATTAGTTATTTTTCATTTCTGTCAAATTAGATGGCCTTTGGAGAATTTTCTTACTTAGTTAACTAGTTACTTTGTTCGGTTTAGTTTTGATTTGTCAATTGTGTCAGTGATGTTCTTCTTGCTAAAGAATAAATGAAAAAGAGTGCCGGTTAATTTCTGGCTGATGTTATATATGTTTTTTTTTTATTTTGACAATAAAATTTTATGATGAAATAAACATAAAATAGTGGATTGGTTAGACGGTGTCAGAGTTCAGCATCAAAGTGAAACAAGAGAGAAATTTTGGGGATGAGTCTCGATTTGGGTTTGTAGAGGAGAGAAAATTGTGGGAGGAGCTGATGTGGGATATGATGAATGAGGATGAGGGAGAGAGAGCGGGATAGAGTTGTGGAAGGGATCATGAGAGAGTTGAGGGAGGGAGAGATCAGGAGAGAGTTGAGGTTGAGGTCGGGGTTGATTTCAAAGGAAGGGCAGAGAGGGATCATAAGTTTTGAGAGAGTGCGGTTGTGTCCTAATTTTTAGGTACGATTGGGTTATATATCCTGACAAATACACGAGATTACTAGTCCCGTGTATTTGTTATGAGCCTCGTTCATTTGTTGAGAGCCAAGTAGAGGTTGTTTTTGTTTAATACACGAGACTACTAGTCCCGTGTGTTTTTTGGGCAAGGTTTTAAATGTCGGATGTCGGGTTCATGTCGGATGGCTGAAATTCATGTCGGATAGCGGAGATCGGGGATATATCGGGGGACATTGACTAAATATCGGATTGCCATATCGGGTAGGCGCATATGTATAATATCATGTCCTAAATGTAATCGAGGGGAGCAGGCTGAGCGATTCCTTAGAAGGAAGAAAGCCGAGAGGAACCAACCGACGGTTAATCCGTTGGACTCAAACTTCGCCTCTCGTGGTAAGGGCAAGGTACCTGCAGCTGCTGGTGGAGCTAATCAAGCATCACAACAGCAATCTCGAAGGCAGCAAAAGACTTCGGGTTCGAGACTCTAAAAAGAGTACTCTTTCAAGGACGAAGACGTTCCAGCCATCTTCGAATCCCTCCTTGAAGGTAACAAGATCAAGCTACCACCTATCACAAATCAGGAGGAAGCTGACAACACTACGGACCCAAAGTACTGTGCAATCAATGCCTCGCCGAAATTTGACTTGTTTAAAGAAAACTATCACAAGTATATTTTACTTTTACTATCTTCAATCCAAGCGTTTAATTTTTCTTGTAATCTACATGTCTTTTGAGAAACATGAGATTATAAACCAGGTATTTGAACTTATATCTCCTAAAATTTTCAGATGATATTTGCCAGGTATCTTTCCGTAGGAGTCGATATTTTCTGAAGTTTTGAGTACTGGTGCACTTTATGTAGATTTGGCTCATGTGACAAGCTTGTGTCTCTGTAGTGCTCACGCCTACCTCCATTTCATTGAATATTAACAGTGGCAGGGAGGACTTTTTTCATCCCCCATTAGATCCCTGGATGCAGGGCAGGTTCCCACTTCCATAAAGGCAAGCAAAGCTGCTCGTGACAAACATCTTTACTTCTTCGGGTTTGACAATTGCTGCAGAGGTCAAGCAGTTCAAACTAAGATCATGCATAGTCCAACATCTGACTAATGTTCGTATTCACCAGATGGGTTCCAAACAGCTTTTAAAATGTGAATTCTTTCAGGGTTTATCAAAGGTTTACACAGCTTATCGCAGAGCAGTTAATAGCCAAAATGTTTGGAGCAAGGTCAGTTGGGTCTACTTAAGTGTAAGCAATGTATTAAATATCAAAAATATCGGATGGCCAAAATCCACATCGGATTGCGGAAATTGGAAATATATTGGTGTATGTGAAAAATATCGGGGTGTCTTATCGGATGATGTTCATATGTAACATAATATTGTAATATTTAATCAAAATATATTTAATGTATTCTAAACATAAGAAATTACGTCATGAATAATGATATACAATATTTAGAGACATTAGATATAGGTAGAGGTCAGAGAGAGAGAGAGTACAGGAACATAGGAGAGAAAGAGGAGACAGAGAAAGACAACTTCGTACCTGAGATCGCCTAATGTTTTTGAGATCGCCTAATATTTTTGAGAGAAGGGAGAGAGAAGTTGAGAGCAAGGTTTTAAACATCGGATGTCGGGTTCATGTCGGATGGCTGAAATCCATGTCGGATAGCGAAAATCGGGGATATATCGGGAGACATTGACTAAATATCGGATTGCCATATCGGGTGGGCGCATATGTATAATATCATGTCCTAAATGTAATCTAAGCATTCATAAATTCAATATAAGCATACTTTATAAATTCTATAGACTAAACATATAAAAAAGTAAATAATATATGGATTTGCGTTCATAAATTCTTTCTATCGGGTTCATAAGAAATCCTTAAACATGAGAACGGGTCAAACGAGTTTGGGTATTTATCACTAAACCCAAACCCGATAATAAAAAACAAACCTTTAAAAAAGGTATCATATCAGCCGGTTTTTTAAAGCTAAAAAATAGGCCGATATGCCCGATATGACCCTAATATTTCTAATTTGGCCCTGAAAACCGACATACGAGTTGAAAACGTCCATGTCGTGTCGGTCAAGCCCTCAAACCGATATGTCGGACATGTCGGCCGACATTTAAAACCTTGTTTCTGGGTTGTGCTTATGAGGTGACTAGCGAACGCTACACACGGGACTAGTAGTCCCATGTTTTTTTACACCAAATTTTGTGAAATCGACATCTTTTTTGCCCGCATTGGTGAGCTGGCTGAAAAAAGGCCCGTTTTGCTAATTATTTAGCGAAAAAGTTGTTTTTGCTAATTATTTTTTTAAAAAGGGTCTTTTTAGAAAAAGTTTCCTATTATATATATATATATACATTATATATATATGAGAAATATGGGTATGCTTGGTACCAAGCACAAAAAGATATGCTTGGTAGTGAGGTGTCACATCTCCCTTCACTCATTCAAATGTGGGACCACATTCACATGGGTAATGAGTGGATGGGGATGTGACACATCACTACCAAGCACAAAATTTGTGATTGGTACCAAGCATACCAATATTTCTCTCTCTCTATATATATACATTATATGTATATATATATTACATATATACATAGACATATGTGTGTGTATATATATATATATATGCGAAAAATGTGCATCCTTGTTATGTGAGGGGATTTCCTCATATAGCAATAATGTGTCTCAATCTCCACCAAGTGACTAAAGGAGGAGAGAAAGCCGCATAATTGTACTTGATTAGGATTGTGCCACATCATTTTATGTGAGAGAATTTCCTCATG